CACACACAAAAAAAAACCCGCCTCCCTCAAATAAACGCCCAGCCTCAAAAACTCTTCTCAGCAATAAACACCTGGGGATATTTATTTGAAAATGGTCTTAACAAATACTTATTTTAAAGGTATTCTGTCTTGTATTAATGTGTACTTTACGATATTTGCTCTTGAAGTAACAAATATTGACAAATTTCCAGTACAGTATTAAACTTATGATATTATATTTATTATCATACATAAGTATTACAATCCTGTTTACATCAACATTTGCCTCCACTTAGGTTTACTGGTCAGTATGCAGTACAAATCCCTGTATGAAATGTAATGGTGGAGATATAAAGTTTAATTATCAATTACAAATTAATTATTACTAACTGATTAGTAATAATTAATCATTAATAATTAATATCCTAAGGTGGAAAATTTAGAAACAACAGAGAGAGCAAAGTTATTAAATATATCTTCTCTCAATTAATTTCGATATCAACCCCAGTATTCTTAAAATGGGTCATAGTTTAAGCGAAAACTTAAAAATCACATCATTTCATATTCTTAAAAAAACTTTGAGTAACACTACAACTAGTATTTCGTTATAAGAATACGGGCATAAGTGCATGAAATCAATATGCAATCAGCTATGTAACTGATAGTCTACAAAAGTTCATGTTCTATTGTGCTCAGATCTGTGACAGCTCAAAATCTGTTGAAAACCGAAAATGGAAATCTGGGTTTTGGTTAAAGTTGGCAGAAATATTATTGACATTTGCTGTGCAGTTGCTTTTCCAATAGCACTCTACTGAACTGCAATAGGTGGAATTAAAGCAGTTGGAAACTGTTGATCAAGTTGACGGAATCTTTGGGCACATTTGTTACGCTCCGAAGTGTAGCCAAGTTCATGATACATTTGAGCCTGAAAGATAAAATAATGAGATTCTTATCACAATTAAAAAAAACTTATTTTCAAGTAATGACATGCAGTACATTATTTAATATTTTCAAATCAACACAACTTACACACTTTCGAGTAAAGCTCAACACAGCTGCTAACAATACCAGTTTACCAGAGGACCATAAAAAGAGCATTTGAAATATTGTCTAAAATAACATTCTTGTAATTAATACTCACGAGATAAGAACTTAACTGCCACATACATATATTTACATTGCCTTTTAAAATAATAACTCAGTAATATGTGGCAAAGACAAGCCAAACCAGTCACTCGTCGCAAATCGTGTTTAAGAGAAAATGGCCAAAACATGCTGGAATGTCAAATTAAAAAAAATCTATTTTATTGCACTAAACTAACCTTTATATATCTACACACAATTCTATGCTGTTATTTTCCCCATTTTCAATGTTAAAACAACACTTTTTAAGGATTTCAAGATAGTTTCTGCATGAAAAATGCCTGTATATTGTTCTTTAAACAGCTGTGTGGTTAAACGCTTGTAACTTCATAAGGAAATGTCCGATTTGAATGATTTTTTTACCATTTCATAGCTATTATTTTACTCTCTAACACTGTATTAATAACACAAAATCGATTTTTGCGACGAGTGACTGGTTTGGCTTGTGTTTGCCACATATACACATACGCAGTATGCAGTAGTCATAGTACCAAAATAATGACCAATTTCAGTGGTCCTTCATTTTTTGTTTTAATTTCATTAACGTCTGCCTCATGAAATTTGAATCAGTAATTTAATAGGGCCTACTTAGTAAAAACACTTTTGAAAATTTCATTTAAATAGAACAGAAGAGTCTGTGGAGAGGGGAGGGGGTTTATGGGGCCTCAAGGTCAACCAAAGTTGATGTACTTGTATAATACAGTATTGATAAATTTCCAGCAGAGTAATGACCATTCTAGTGACAATTCAAAATAAGCAATATTGTTTATTAAAATGACAGAAGCCTTTACTCAAGTTTAACCTTGTAGAATAATTGAATCAGATATTCACCTATGGACATTAAATAAAATAACTCAAGCGAAACATTTTAATCATGTGATCCTGACCTTCTAATACCTTCAAGCTAGGATTTCAGTTCAACCATAAATCCTATATATTTGAAATCAACATTTTATTTTTTTCATAAAAGAGAACTTATGCCCACACTTTCAATCCCCTCCCCCCTAAGGTGTATGTTTTGTATTTTTTCGATAATTATGGATGGCCCCTAAGTATACAGTCCAGTATTATACATACAGTAGTTTTCAATATCTCACTATTTATTATCCATATAATACTGTAGATAAATAAAGAGATTACTTCAAATACACAGGCTTTCTATGTATAAACATTCTTAAACTTTCTATGTAAACGTGAACAATTTTAAAATAAATTTAAAAAAAAAAAATCCCTGAATATTTAAGAGCATTATAAAATTTGGTTAAATAAAAAATAATTATTCCATGCACAAACAAATACATTTATAGACCTATATTATAGGTCCAGAGACTACAACATAATGTACTGCTATTTTAATAACAGAAACAAGTTACTGCTGGCACTGATTTTGCAATTCTCATGTTTGTCAGAAAGGAAAAATGATTATACCACAAAAATAAAATAAAAACACTAACAGCATACAGAAGATTGCAACACTACAGAAACAGCTATTGCATGCCCATAGTTTGCAAGTTATAACAATGGAGGTCAGAGTTCACCAAAAGTATGGTCAGAACAATCAGTCAAGTACTGGGAACAACAAGACTCAACTGTATTGTGTGGGATATGGTGTGATCATGGGGTAATTGTCTGATCTGCATATAACTTTAAAATAACTCACTTAGAATACAATAAAATTTTACCCTTACTGTCATTGGATAACTGTGGAAATTTTGCAAGGAAAAACAGGATTCCCAGTTGGTGGTGACATTACTGTATACATGCCAACATTATGTGTTTTCCACCTGGTTGTATTGCATCCTATTAATTGTCTCTCAATTCTCATAAAAACCATCTTTTTGCTTTAATATGTTGTTTCTTAAACTTCATTAGTTATTGCTCTATTAATGTTCACTGCAATATATTGATCGTATATTGGGGGTTTTTTTTCAAATCATTAAAATCAATCAAATAAACAGGATTTGGCAATAACATAACATTCCAGTTAGGAATAAAGTGTATAATGTAAAAATTTAGGGGTAATTGAACATAATTAATAAAAACAATGTATATAAACTCAGTTACATTATTCAAATAAGATATTTTAAAAATTGTTACCAACTTTTTACAGGTAACTAATAGCAATCATTTTTGTGGTTTACCATCAGCTTTCAGAGATCCTGCTGAGCTACCAATCAATAATATAGTATTTGAATTCAACTGTGTCCACGTGTGTTATTGTCTGAAGTCAGATATTGATTGTGAACAATGAACAGCTGCTGTCAATGTTTATTATGAACGCTGTTCATTGGAGAGTGAATAATATGCATCAGAGGCACATCAAGGATTTTGAACACAAGGGGCACAACCACAGGTAGAAATTGGGTGTGGTGCTGTGGCTTGGTGAGTAAGATGCTCACCTTCCAATTCCATGGTCCTGGGTTGAATTCCTGTCATTACCAAACACAACCCCACTCCCTCCTAGTAATAACACTTGTGTGTATTAAGCTTGCTTTTGACCAATCATTGGTCCTTGTGCCTAAAGTTTTAAATTTCAAAAATATGTAAATAAAATACAAACTATTGTAGTAAGAAGCATATTTTTAATTTTGACAGCCAAAACAGGAAGGATGCTCTGAACCTGCCAAAAAATATAACAATAACAATCATCCACTCCACTTAGGAAATGTCAAATTACACAGGAAATGTTGTGGTTTGTCACAATTGGCAGTGAATGCTTCCGAAAATTATGAAATTCAAAGATAATAACAATTATTACAGTATTTACAATCTCAATTACTTCTTAAATATTCCCCAGTAAAATGTTTTCCGTATCAGATTTGAGCTTTTCACATCTACCCTGGCTACTTTATGTGTGTTGTCAGAGCTTGTATAGCTGCTGGAAACAAGTAGTTTTGTATCTAATTTTAAGGGCACAAATAGAAAGCAGGGGTGTTGGCTGGTTTCAACCTGGGGGTGGGGTGAACACTGAGAATGTGGAACTAAATCTCTATTCCAATGAAAACCTAATGGTCATTTTAAGTATTTTAACCCACTTAGTGGAACTAATTTGTCAACATGTGGGGGCATTTTCCCCGAATGTAGGACATAAACCACCCTGGACATAAACCACCCAGGACATAAACCACCCAATTGGAATATACCATTGTTAAAGTGGGTGGGCAACAGGGTGAACAATGTTGGGTGGTCTTGCTTTTGAGTTATACATACAGTATAATTGTAATCTTAATATTAGTATATTTGTGGGCCTACTCTATATGTAACAGAATTTAATTTAAGTATTTAATTATTAAATTAATTATCTTCCTTTTATAATGTATAATAAGCCTATAGTAATTGTAGTATAAGTTAGTGTACTCTCTATGTATTATTATTATTTTTATTATTATTTTTATTATTATTATCATTATTATTATTATTTTTATTATTATTATTATTATTATTATTATTATTATTAAAAAAAAAAAAAAAAAAATTACTATTACTATTATTACTATTACTATTATTACTATTACTATTATTACTATTACTATTACTATTACTATTACTATTACTATTAC